ATATATTATAGACTGTATTCTTATAATAAAGTAAGATAGAGAAAAGAAAATGTTATTAATAAAATCATACAGAAAATACATTTACAGTACTATACTGTGTTTATTGAAAAAATTCTGTGTATAAGTAGACTCATGCAGTTCAAACCCATGTTGTTCAAGGATCAACTATACTACAACAGTTTGCTGATAGTTCTGAAGAAGAGGGTTGTTTTTCTGTTTTTAAATTCACAAAAAAGTGTCCCATGGCCAAGCAGCATTCCTGCTGCAGACCCATCCTGAGATATGGGGTATGTCTGTTGTGGATCTGTCTTGGCTTCCATCCAGCTGCACCTGTCCCTCTCCATGCCCTGTAGCGGTGGTGACGCTGATTGAGGATGGGAAGAATAACTCTGTGCCGGCTGAGTCCACATCGCACAGGTGGCGAGGGCCTGGCTGCCGGCCACCCGACAGCTCCTACAACAGCCTCTACTCCACGTGTCTGGAGCTGTTCAAGTTCACCATCGGTATGGGCGACCTGGAGTTCACAGAGAACTATGACTTCAAGGCGGTCTTCATCATCTTGTTGCTGGCCTATGTGATTCTCACCTATATCCTTCTGCTCAACATGCTCATTGCCCTTATGGGTGAGACTGTCAACAAGATCGCGCAGGAGAGCAAGAACATCTGGAAGCTACAGGTGGGTCAGTGGGTGGGGTGTGCGCAGCAGGAGGCTGTCTGCAGCTCTGTTTGCTGCTTAACACAGCTAGGTGTGTGAGCTCCTGCGGGGTTTGAGGAAGGGCAGAGAGCCCAGGCAGCCCTGGGGGATCAAGCAGCAGCATCTCTCCCCCAGTCGACTCCCTTCTGGGCCCTTCTTCAGGGTTTCCCTCCCAAGCATCCCCAACTGGTGTTGACAGCATGTGCTTACTGTGGCTGGGCAGTCCCCAGGGTCAGGAGATGGAGGGCTCAGCCCCATGGGGTGCCCACCTCACAGGAGCTTGGTCTAGGGTGGGCACCAGACACCAGACTTGGGGGCAGCAGCTAGAATGGGGTGAGCCCTAACAGCTGCATTTTTGAGGCCCCTGGTCCACAGCTACCCTCCCACCTAATAATAAAAGTGTCATTCTTATTAAGTAGCAGTGACTCTATATACCATGTATTGTTCTAAGTGTTTTACATCCTCTCATTTAATTCTCACAACAATGCTATCAAGTGGCTACCATTACTGTTCCCATTTTTGGATAAAGGCACTGAGGCCTAGAGAAGTTAGGTATCTGTGTCCAAGGTAACTACAGATCTTCCACAACCTACAATGGGGTTACATTCCGATAAGCCACCATGATTTAAAAATGCGTTTAATACACCCATCCTACTGAACATCACAGCTTAGCCTGGACTACCTTAAATGTGCTTAGAACACTTAACATTAGCCTACAGTTAGGCAAAATCATCTAACACAAAGCCCATTTTATAATAAAGTGTTGGACGTCTTATGAAATTTGTTGAATACTATGATAAAAGTGAGAAACAGAATGGTTGTATGGGTACAGAGTGGTTGTATGGGTGCAGGTTGTTGACCGTTGTGATCGCATGGCTGACTGGGAACGCCCAGCATCATGAGAGAGGATTGTACCGTATTTTGCTAGCCTGGGAAAAGATCCACATTCAAAACTTGAAATATGGTTTCTGCTGAATGCGTATTGCTTTCACGCCATCGTAAAGTTGAAAATCATTAAGTTGAACCATCGTAAGTTGGGGACTATCTGTGGTGAGTAGCACAGTCAGTGTTCAAGCCAAGCGGTCCCATCTTATGGCCCTGCTCTTAGCTACTACACTATCTGCCCCTTTGTGAGCACTTCAGGGAAGAGTCCGGGGCTGGACACTCCACATCACTCATGGGAGGCCCTGCCCCCACCTGACCTGGCAGGCACCAGCAGTGCCTGGGCACGTCTGGGCTGGATAGGCTGAGCTTGGACTGTGCACCTGCCAGGCTACAGAAACAAGCCTGATATGGAAGGCACTGGGGTTTAGCTTAGGGGCACGGAGGCTGGGAGAAGCTCTGGAGAGGCTGATCTTGGAAGCCCCACTGGCAGCCAAGGGAAGCCCCGGGATGAGCCCTCTGCCCCTCTGCTCTCTGTGTCTTCTCACAGAGAGCTATCACCATCCTGGACACGGAGAAGAGCTTCCTTAAGTGTATGAGGAAGGCCTTCCGCTCAGGCAAGCTGTTGCAAGTGGGGTACACACCTGATGGCAAGGATGACTACAGGTGGTGTTTCAGGTAATGCCCAGGCAAGAAATCACACTTAGGGAGCTCAGGGGCTTACTTATAGATATCAGGGATCTACCCCGAGCCAGCTATGGGTACAGAGGCCATTCTGGGGCTTTGTGGGCATAGGGGACTCACCTAGAGCCAGCTGTGGATAGAGAAACCTGCCTCAGGGCTTCCTGGGACCAGTCATGAACATAGGGGACTCTCCCAAGGCCAGCTGTAGGTAGGTACAGGGGCTACCCCAAGGCTCAGCTGTGGGCATCAGGGACTTACTGTGGGCATAGGAGACCTATTGGAAAGTGAGGTGTCCAAAAGGGGTCATCCAGTGATCAGGGTCAGAACCAGGAATCCAGCATTTAAAGTCCCTGGGCTTCATGATGTGGTCCGAGAACACAGCTTTGGGGGTGGTGTCCAAAAAGCAGGCCCCTCTCAGCCCTCCCCCTACCAGCTCTGTCTCCCGATCCTGGTCTATGGGCTTCTTGGGATTGGCCTGTGGCACTAAGCCCTCAACCTGGGAAGCTAGGCATGGCTTTTAGGCCCTCAGCTCCTAGCTCCCTTGTCTCCTTGCCCTGCAGGGTGGATGAGGTCAACTGGACCACCTGGAACACCAATGTAGGTATCATCAATGAAGACCCGGGCAACTGTGAGGGCATCAAGCGCACCCTGAGCTTCTCCCTGCGGTCAGGCAGAGGTGAGGTGTGAGGGACGGGTGCTGTGGCATGGAGGTGGCCTGATGTTGGGCAGGTGAAGCCTTGGGGGGTCCTTGCTCCTTGCAGGCCCTCTTCACCCCCCAGCCTGGATGCTGGGACAGCCCCAAGGGTCAGGCGCCTGCACACGCTCAGTCACAGGCACTCTGTGTACTCTCACACCTTCCTGCACAGCCGACTGTGACACATGCCCATGCTCACCAGCTCTGCCAGCACCCTGGCCCAGGCTCCTGTCCTCAGGTGTCCCAGCGGAAGCCCTTTGTCCCGTGTACAGCCATCTGGGACAGCTGGCCTTGTTGTGGGCTGCCCTGTCTTCTCCTCCCGTTGCTCATACCCAGTGTCACGTTCCGCTCTGCGAGGCCTACGGGCACAAGCAGGTGCAGGCAAGAACTCCCCTTGCAGGAACACATCCAGGCAGGTGGAGGAAGCATGGGGAGAGTAAAGGGTAGATAGACCTTGAGCAGAAATGCTCTGCAGAAAATCACCACCAGAAAAAAGTCCTTTAACAGTTCATGGTAAACATTTAATAGTACGTGTTAAATTAAAGGTCTAATTGAGAACACTTACTTAAAAATGAAGCAAACCTAGTTTGTATTGAACAGATTTTGAGTTATAATTACGATTCTGCACTAATTCTTTGTTTTTAGCTTTTAGAAAATTGTGGTAAAATGTGTATAATACAAAAGTTGCCATTTTAATCATTTTTAAGTGTACAATTCATTGGTGTTAATTGCATCCACAGTGTTGTGCAACCTTCACCACTATCTATTTCCAAAACATTTTCAGTATTTCAAACAGAAACTGTACCTATTGAACAATTACTCCTATTTCTCCCTCCCGCCAGCCCCTGGTAACCTCTATTCTACCTTCTGTCTCTGTGATTTTGCCTAGCGTAGATACCTCGGTATAAGTGGAACTCACATTTTGTGTCTGGCTCAGTGATATTCCAGTGTAGGTATATACCATGTTTTATTTACTATTCACCTGTTCAATCAACGTCAGGATTGTGTCCAACTTTTTGGCTGTTGTGAATAATGCTACGAACATTGATCTACACAATTCTGCTTGACTCACTGCCTTCAGTTTTTTTATTATTAATTAATTAATTAATTTATAGAGAGGCAGAAGCGGGGAGGGCCAGAGGGAGAGAGAGAATCTTAAGCAGGCTCCACACCCAGCGTGGAGCCCGACAACGAGGGGCTCAATCTCATGACCCTGAGATCAAGACCTGAGCTGAAATCGAGAGTCGGATGCTTCAGTTCTTTTGGATAGAAATGAAACTGCTGGGTCATATGATCATTCTATGTTTAACTTTTTAAGGAACTGCCAAACTGTTTTCTAAAGCGGCTGTATTTCTGTACATTCCCACCAGCAATGCATGAGGGTTCCACATCCTCACCAACACTTGCTGTTTTCTGGGTTTTTGTGGTGGTGGTGGTTGTAGCCATCCTAATGGATGTGAAGTTGTATCTCATTGTGGTTTTGATTTGCATTTCCCTAATGACTAGATTTTGAATATCTTTTCATACGCTCATTTGTCATTATAGGTACTCTTTGGAGAAATGCCTATTAGAGCAATTGGCCCATTTAAAACTTTGTTTTGTTGTTGCTGAGTTATAGAAGTTCTTTATACCTCTGGGTATGGATCCTTATCAGGTATATCATCTGCCAGTGTTTTCTTCTATTCTGTGAGTTGTCATTTGATATGAAAGTTTTTATTTTGATGAAGCTCAATTTATCTATTCTTTTCTTTTATTGCCTATTCTTGTGGTGTAATATGTAAGAAATTATCACCAAGTCCAATGTCTTGAAGATTTTCCCCTATGTTTTTTTGTAAGAGTTCTATAGTTTTAGTTCCCTACCATTTTTACATTGATTTTTTTTTCTCCCTTGGATTTCTTTGTTTTTTAAATTTTATTATGTTATGTTAATTACCATACATTACATCATTAGTTTTTGATGTAGTGTTCCATGATTCAATGTTTGTGTATAACACCGTGTGCTCCATGCAGAGCGTGCCCTCTTTAATACCCATCACCAGGCTACCCATCCTCCCACCCCCCTCCCCTCTAGAACCCTCAGTTTGTTTCTCAGAGTCCATAGTCTCTCATGGTTCATCTC